TTTAATGTAAATTTGTACTTATTTGGCTTCTCTTTCAAACCAGTTCTAACATCTGCCTGGTTTCCTTATTAAATACTGAAATAAATTAAATCTTTAACACATTTATTTTATATCTATATAGAAGTCATGATTTAACTTTTTAACAAAAATTATCCTTTAAGAAATTAAATATAAACATTTCTCATTAAATTGTTTAACTTATAATTCACAATTCTAGAAATTATGACACAAGAAATTCCTAAATATGCAAAACCAGATTCTAGTTTTTTTCCTAGATATGAAAGGGTGTGTCTTTGTTTTAAAAACAACTTGTAAGACATACTATGCAACAAACTCTATCCAAATATGGTCTACTTAAATATCTAAGATGATGAATGCTTTCTAGTACAAAACGCTTATGAAAACTTAGTGGCACGATTCTATTTATCATGTTCATGCAAAATAATTATATAAAAATTTAATTCTACATTCCCAATAAAAATCCAAGTCAGCTATTTCGTGGACATCAAAACAAACTGATGTTAAAGTTTTTATAGAAAAGCAAAAGACAAAAAACAGCTCAAGCAATACTGAAGAACAGATTTAGAAGACTGACATTACCTGACTTCAAGACTTAGTTACAAAGTTGTAGTGATCAGAAAAATAAGTATTTTAAAAGAATAGACAAATTAGGGGGAAGGAATAGAGAAACTAGAAAATAAAGTCAACTACCTTTGACAAAAGAACAAAGGCAATTCATTGGAGAAAAAATAAGTCTTTTCAAAATATGATGCAGGGAAAACTGGACATCCACATGCAAAAACACGAACAGAGCTTATGTTTATAAAAATTAACTCAAAATGGTTCACAGACCCATGGTCTTAGTTATCTCATACTGTTACACTAGAAATAACCACAAATGAAGACTGTAACAGAAATGTATTCTCTTTCATAGCTCAGGAGGCTAGAAGTACACATTCAGGGCACCAGCTCTAAGGGAAAGTTTTCTCTGCAGGGTCTGGGAGAAGGTCCTTGTGATCTCCTTTCAACATCTGTGGGCCATGCATTCCTGACAGATCTCCGGGTATATTGACACCATTCTTTCTCTACGTCCAGGCAGCTATCAGCAGAGTTCAAAGGATACACTCAGCTCCTGGCTTTCTTGGTTTAATAATAGTTCCCTCTTCTCTGCTTGCTTCTCTCCCTTTATGTCTTATAAAAAGTGATGCTGGCTACACTCCAGGGAAATTCCTCTTACATAGGATCCTTGTACATATGACCTAAGTAAAGGTGTTGTATGCCACCACAATTTCCTTCCAACTGGCTGGCTGATCACATCACAGGGATAACTACATTGAGAATCATGGCCCCGTCTCGCTAAACGTTAGGAACAGAACCATACAACTTCTGGAAGAAAGGAAAGAAAAATATACAGGCCAGGTGTAGTTTGGGAATGACTTTTTAGTTACAACTCAAAAGTACTACACAAAAGAATAAACTGAGAGGGTTGAATTTCGTTTAAATTAAAAACTTCTCCTCTGTGAACAATGTCATTAGGAGAATGAAATGATAAGTCACAGATAAGTAAGCGATATTTGCAAATATGGTTGAGAAAACAAACAACTCAATTACAAAACGGGCAAAAGTTCTGAACAGAAACCTCACCAAAAATAGATACAAATGTCAAATAAAGATGAAAGAGTTCTACTCTGTCTTATAGGGTTGCTGTGAGTCTTTATCAACTCATAGCAGTGAGGGTTTTTTGTTTGTTTGCTTTTTTGCTGTTTTTAGTTATCTGTCTTCAGTATAACGGCTCTATCTTTTGAGTCTAAGAGGTTCTCAGTGTAGGAACCCCAAGTGCCCAGGTCCAAAGGATGTGTTCTGTTCTGGATTTCTCTTGATGTTATTGAGGTGCCCTAAAATTTTGTGGAACTGGGTTTATAGGTTTTATAAGTAAAACCTATAAAAGTCGGAGCTTGTGTAAAGCAAAAATCCATCAGAGAAGGAAACACTCAAATATTTGTGCCCAAAACAAACAATAAAAAAGTGGAAGAACTCTTTTCCAGCTGCTCCTCCACAGACTGAGCTGCCGGGCCTCGGTCTCTCTCTGGCTGTGTTCAGTACTGCAACGCCTGAAACGGCTTCTGTCCTTTATGAAAACCCACTTGGATTACACACAAAAAAAAGTGGAGGAAAAGAGGGAGGAAATTAAAATGAGGGAGGAAATAAAAGAGGAGCTGATATCAAGGGCTCAAGCAGAAAAATGTCTTGAAAAGGATGATGGCAACATATGTACAAATGTGCTTGATACAATGGATGTATGGATTGTTGTAGGAGCTGTAAGAGCCCCCATTAAAATGATTTAAAAAAATAAACAATTACAACAAAACCATTAAATAAAGTGGTAACATCGTATCCTGTCGGAGGCAGAAAACATGCAAGGCCCTAAAACATGGGAGTTCTGCTCACCCTATAAACAAACTCCCTGTCAATTTCAAGGCCAGACAGAAGACAAAAGGTCAAGCCTATTGGGTGGATTTTCAAATCATTAATTCCGTAATAATGGACCTATCTTTTGCAAGGCATAGTGGTTATGCGCTGGGCTGCTAACCATTAGGTCAGTTAGAAGCCACCAGAGTTCTGAGGAAGAAAAACAGAGCTTTCCACTCCTGTAAAGGTGTACAATGTTGGAAACTCTCAGGAAATTCTATTCTACCCTATAGGTCTCTGAGTTGGGATCATCTCAATGGCATTAAGTTTGGTTTGGTTTGGTATTCCCCAAAATATGGCCATCCCTGATTTCCAGAACTCATTCCCTCTTCCCAAAGCCTCTTGCAGATTGTCTAGAGCACTGACCACACCTTTGTAAATTTCCCCATTAATAAACTGCCTGGCTATACCCTTTGTTTCTTTACAGGATCCCAATTTACATAGAAGGCAATTTTCTTAACATGGTAAGAAGCATCAACCAAACACTTTTAACAGGGGATGTTAGAAACCTTTCTATTAAATGACAAGAAAGTACTCCCAAGTATTAGTCCTTGACAGAAGTATAGGAAATTGAAGGGGAGAACACACGAGTACTAATCATAAGATATATAACTGTCTACACAGAAAACCACATATAAATTTGAATTAATAAGAGTTATCAGGAATGCTAAATAGATAAGAAGACTATCTAAATCTAAGAACAAACTGGAGTTTGGCACATATCTAAAAAGTAAAGATGTCACTATGAGAACTAAGAATGAACTGAAAAGGAATGGTGTCATTTTCATTGTCAAAAAGAATATTTCAAGATTTTGAAGTACAATGTGATAGAAAAATATCATCCACCTACAGGGAAAACCAGTTAATATGAATATTATTGAAATTTATACACCAAAAATTACAATGTATCAATTTCTTCAGTCTGAAATTTAAAAATACAATCAAAATATATTGATAATTACTGGTGGAAATTTAAAAAAAGGGAGGGGTAGTAGTTAGAAAATATGGCCTTGGTAAGAGAAAGACTTTCAAGACTTATCCATTATTGCAAATACATTTTCTCAACAGCACAGGCAGTGATTATGCACTAGGACCTCACTAAATGGAATACACAGGAATCAAAGAAACGGAATCTATGGAAAGAGAAGATGGAAAAACTTAACATTACCAGTCAAAGAATGTCCATGGGTTGATGGTAGATGAGATCATCAACTGCTTATTTTAAAGTTCATGTTAAAGCTTGAAGAAATTGAAATCAAGTCCCAAGAGCTAAAATATTACGTTAAGCAAGCATACCCCTCCATTTGAATGTAGACACTATACCAAGAACAGATTTGATGCACTGAATATTAATGACTGAAGACCAGAGGAGTATGAACATCATATATGAATAATGTAAAATGTCATTAAAAGAAAGAAAACACCAAAATGAATGTCAAAAGAGAATTTGGACAATTGCTCTTAAACTTTAACAAGAGTAGCTAGCTAAAGCTACTGGAAAAATGGAAAAATGAAGTGAAAGCACTGAACAGAAAATTCTGAGGCCAAAGTTTATAATGAAATGTGCAGGTGTACCAAAAAAACCCAAATCCTCAGAGATACTGAGTCAATTCTGATCCACAGGCACCCTATAGAACAGGGTAGAGTTGCCCCTGTGGGATTCTGGAAAGATAAATCTTTATAGGAGTAGGAGACCTTGTCTTTCTCCAGCAGAGCAGCTGGTGGTTTCAAACTGGTAACCCTGTGGTTAGCAGCCCATCATGAAACCACTATGCCACCAGAGAACCTAACAACAACAGAAAGGATACCTGATAGTGCTGTTGGCTAAGGGTTAGACTGGTAATGACAAAGCCTGGAGTTCAAATCCACTAGCTGCTCTCTCCAGGAGAAAGATGAGGTTATCTGCTAAAAAGATTTACAGCCTTGCAAACCCTATGTAATGTTGCTGTGAGTTGGAACTGACTTGATAGCAGTGGGCAGACAGAACAACACAATCCATCTTACCAGTGTTCATCAATACAAAGGAAGGAACAAGTACTGATGCATACTGTATTTTGAACCTTGAAAACACTGTGCTTAAGTGAACGAAGCCAATAAAAAATATTAATTAAAAAAACATATAATTCTATATATAGAAAAATGCCCAAATAGGCAAATTTAGTGTGATAGAAAGTAGATTCAAGTGCTTCCTAGAGGAAAAGCAAATACAAAGAAAATACAGGGCAACTGATAACAAATTTCTTGTTGGAGTGATGAAAATATTCTAAAATAAGTGAAATTGGCTCACCAAGCCCTGAGGACAAAGTTCCTTCTCAGAACAGCAATGCACAGAGATGACCACAGGGCCGGTCTCACCATGGGACACAGCGCTCCTCATTGACCCATAGCACCATTGGGGACAACTCTAGAGACACACGGCGGGAACTGTGCCCGCCATGAGCTCACTACGCTGAAGCCAGCCTCTGGGGATATGCAGCAGAGCAGTGGCGAGAGCAGAGCAATGAAGTCCCCAGGGACAGAGGCGGTGCCAGGGCTTGGCACCCCATCAGACTCGACTGGAAAGCCTCTGATGTCCTTACTGACACCTCTTTACAGCTCACAAAAACTGGGGGGGTAAGCCCTTTGAAGGTAGTTCTGAGTTCCTTTCTTTTGAAGTGGGCTCTGGAAACTGACAAGGCCTGCCTTCAAGGCACCAACCAATCACAGATTTTCTCATACAACTGTCCAGAGTTATTAGTCATACTCATTTTATTCAACACATAAAAGATCTTAACACTGCAGAGCTAATAAAGGAACCTTATAACCTCCATATAAAGTCCACGTTAGATCAAAATATTTATTTTAACAACTGTGTACTGGATATAGTATTAAGACACTGGAAAAAGTACAGTAATTTCAACATCATTACACAAGTAATGAATCTATCTTCTTTGTTTTACATATATAAGAAAACTTAGAATCAGAGATTGCATGAAATGCCCAAAGTTGCACGGTTGATGGGAAAATCATTATAAAATGCAAATCACTTGGATTTCTTACTCTCAACAGTTTATCTTCCCGAAATATCTTACTTTACTTTTACTATTTGACTAAACTTCCAAAGTATAGGAATAGGAATTGAAAGACATACTCTTAGTCATAACGTTAAATAAATGTTAAACATGCACTCTTCCTTTTATAGCAATTCTCAACCTGTGGGTCGGGACCCCTTTGGGGGTCGAACGACCCTTTCACATTTACAGTATGATTCATAACAGTAGCAAAATTAGTTAAGAAGTAGCAACAAAAATAATTTTATAGTTGGGGATCACCACAATGAGGAACTGTATTAAAGGGTCGTGGCATTAGGAAGATTAAGAACCCTGCTTTAGCGATTCACAGTGTACATTAATACCACATGTAAGGCTATGGGAAATCTTGTAGTATAAACATTTACTTAGCATTTCTCAGAACTACAATTCACCTCTCAGTTGTGTTTTTCAAACTGTGCATCACCACCAATTAGCTAAATCAATTTACCAGTGCAGATTAAGGACCTTTTAAAAATGAAATGGATACCTGACCCACTAGGCCAAACAGCAGCCAGTCCACAGAGAGGACCACATGGCCAACCCCACTATGAGACGAGATGCTCCTCACTGGCCCATGGCCCTGCAGGGGACAAC